TAATAGCAATAATTTAATTTAATCAATATTTAATCAATATTAACATAATTATATACCAGTTTTATCTTTTTTATTTTATCGGTTTTAACAACATATAAGCTAAAATTAGTTTTATCATGTGATAAAATCCAAAACATAGTGATGATAAAATGTTATGATGGCATCACTAGTTCCAATGTAAGAGTCCATGACAAAACGACTACATCTACATTGGAGATACAAAACGATGTTATTCAATAAATTCTATTATCATTAATATTTGGAAAAAAAACTTTTTTTTAATATCATTGAAAAAAAACCTGTAGTCATTAACAATTATAGCCATACTTTATACAAAAGTGAATTGATGATATATTTGTTGGCACTAGTGTAACTTAAAACAATCTTAGCAGCGTGTTTCTTTTAAACCAGAGTCACTTGATAAATCAAACAATTTTAGTGAGGGAAAAGTCATGGATAATAAATGCTGAAAGATTAATTTAAAGCGAGAAACAAATAATTTAATTGTTTAGTCTAATTCTTATTTATTTTCGAGAAATCAAAAGTAAGAAGCTACGATTGGACTTACAGCTGCAACCCAATATCAATGCTTCATTAAAATATCACGGCATTATCTGTATTAATTGTATTAATGTAATTGTATATTATGTACAGAAATTTGGTCATCTGATTTGCTTCGAATTCGAATTAAATTCGAATATGAAACCGAATCTGCAAAACGTGATCTGAAATACAATCAATGACGAAAGCACTCTACAATCAACTCTTCGGAAATTACATTTTTGTAAAGGTTCGAAGATAGCGATGTAGTTTTCAGAGAGTTAGGTAATTTAGGAAAAGATTTTGGGTAACTAGCAAATTTTTAATTTGTCACAGAATTTGTGAAAACAGCTGCAAATATGCAGAATAAAACTGGTTATCGATTTGTAATTCTGTTTCAAATTAAAAGCTTTTTATACTGTACGGGTTTTTAGGTAGTCAAATACTTTGTATGTGCACACACAATGATTCTACTTATTTAAAGTTGGCGCATCTCTCGAATTTAACTATCCAAATAAAATATTTATATATGCAGAATAAATTCTGTTCCAAACTCTAATTATGTATACAAAGTTATTGTAAAGAAATATCATCAAAAATAATAATGGAACTATTACGTACTTATTAGAATCTATTCAAAGTACTATAACAAAAGTTCTATGTACAAGGAGTGATGACATAGGGCATGCATTTAATAATATATTATGAGAGAATTATCGGAAAATTTTTTTAGATTCTTGCGTGTATAATAGTCTACGTAATTGATACCATTGTCCGAAAAGGTTCTAATGGAGTCAAGAAATATGTAATTGCCATAAATAGAAAATAACATTATTACATGTCAATAGCAATAAACTTGGTTATTATTCTTCGTATTGTAGTAAATAAAGTTATTCATATCTTAAAATTGAAGACAATTATAAAAATATTTTCAGTTCGATCAAATTATATGATCTAATCGAATCAATTTTTCGTATTTATAGTCGTGATAAGTATCTGAGAACTAAAAATTTTTCTTGAGGTATCCAAAGAACGAAATCCAGTTTTGTACGATACAAGTATATATTTATATATTGCTTGAGCGAAAGAAAAAATTTTATTCACTTTTTAAAAAATATCATTTAAACACGCTTAAAAAATGATTCGTATCATTTTCATCCTGTCAACTCTTGCTTTAGTAATCACTATATTTTTTGCCAAATTAAGCAATGATGATTTCTCTAAAACAGAAGACGTATCAATGGAATCTCCAGAATTAAAAGATCCATATAAAAAATCAACTGATATTAACACGGAATTACAAGAAATTCCAAGATTTATCATTGGGTTTGAACGATTTCAAGAAGAATTTGACGGAATACTCACAATTCCCGAATTTCCAAAAAGTAAACAACGCTACAAGATCGTCGTATTACCGAGAGACAATAAAGGCAGCTGGCTAATTTATAAAAATAATTTATACTTGGATTCTAAGGAAAGTTCCTATCAAATTAGGATGTACGATATTAAAATATTCCCGGGACTAAAAACTATGATAAGAGATTTCTTTAGAAGATGGTGGTATGGGAAAGAAGATAATAAATTTATTTTTTGAGTCAACAATTTCGTATCAACTTGGATGAATGCGTACCTTGTCGGGAGAGCGGGTGAAAATCAATTTTGGCAATAATAATATCTTATTCGCAGGTCGTTTAAGTTAAATTTACAATTATGATGAACACTTGCTTTACAACTTTATTTTGTGCATTAAATAATTAATATTCGTACACACCATTTATATCATGATTAATTGTAAATATAGATTAAATAAATTAATATTGTACTAAATTTTAAGAATTTGATGTGATAATAATAATTCATTAGATCTGTATTTAATAGCTTATATCCGGATTTAACAATGATGTTTAGACTTAGTATTAGACGTATTATCCCTTTTTATCTGAAACCGATTTGTAAGTGGACAAAGGTAATGAATGTGCCTAGATATAAGCTATTAAATCCGGATCCAGGTATTAACTCTATAAACGGATAATGTGATATGAAAATGATACGAATTTTTGGAATTGAATTGGATCCAAATTAAAAGCGTAGAATGATTATTCTACTATTGCAGTTGTTACGTGTCAACCATATGACGCATACATATTAAATTGATATAATTATCGAGTCAAACTCATTTATAAAATCTATTGATGGTATATCTCACTTAAATATTAGATACATATACATTGACAAGAATATTGATAGCTAATCAGTAATTATGGTCAAATAATTTAATTCACATAAATTCGCGATAACTAAAGCTTACTATTCTTATTAAGTTTTTCAAATTCAGTAATTTCACTTTCTGAATCTTCAATAATTTCACTTTCTGAATCTTCAATAATTATTAAACCACCAATTTTTTCTGCTATTTCTTTTGCTGCCTGTTCAATTTTTTCTACAACTTGTGGACTGGTTTCTCTAGCCAAAAGACTCACTACTACAACCCAAGTTTTATCCTTAGTCAATTTTGGGTAACTACCAATTTTTATTCCAAAATCTTTTAATTTCTCTTGGAATTCGGTTAGAACTGGTGCGATAAATGATTCAGGTTGATAGGTTTTAATAAACCTTCTCACAAACGTTTCTCCTCCATTAAGATACTTGCGATATCCTGATAATAATCCTCTGAATAAACTTGGAATACCAGGTAAAATATGAACATTGTTATTAACAATAACTATTGGAACCCAAAGCTTTTCGTCAGGATAAATAACCAAAGATGGTTGTGGAAATAAAACCATTCGTTTACGTGCTTCTATAGCTTTTTTGGTTTCATTCCTAAATACTTTCATTTGAGGTGTATTTTTAACAAATTCTGCCATTCGGTCCATTGTTGGTTGGTGATAATTTAATGGAAGATTAAACGCATGAGCAATTGATGAATACGTTATATCATCATGAGTTGAACCTGATGAAATATTATACTTAATAAACATAAAAAAATTTTATTGGTTCTCAAGTATATGCTAATTATCAACTAACCTATACCACCACTAGTAACTACAAAATCAAAATTACTGCTGAGTCGTCTTACAGCTTCAATTATCGTCTATAATAAATAGTAATAAATTAGAATGAATAATCATCAAAAATATTAATTGTGATCTATACAGTAAGGAAAGAGAAAAAAAGCCATTACTTCTTCCTCATCTGGAATAACTTCAATTCTTTTCAAATCAATCCCAAGGTTGAAACAATATTTGGCTGAAATATTCAATTTTTTTGTCTAGTAATCATTCGACCATTACAAAGAAATTAAAAAAAAAAAAGAAAATGATAATACCAAAGAATCCAGAGTTAGTATCAGCAGTTTTTCCATTGAGAATTTCATCACCAATCACTAAACAGGCTGCAGTTTTTGGAAAAGGTTTATGTTGTAATTCTGAAACCGGCGTTATAGGTAAGACGGTTGATTTTTCAGGTTCAGCCATTTTGTGATGCACTTTAAGCTGCTCTCGCATATCGATATACTGGTATAAATACAAATATGAGTACTACGTTGAACATAGATAAATTAAGAAACGTGCTGCAAATTATCGTTATCGTTATCGTTATACGTAGAATGAAATGAAATGCCATCATAAGAAATTGTACATATATAGAAACTTTTTACTGACGATCCGCAATGATCCGCAAGAATTCTACACGCATTGATAATATGTCATCGGTATTGGGCATATTTACGTACTAAGGTTGTAACGTAATTACCTCAATATAAAATCTGGTTTAAAATAGGTCGTAACTAGTGACGACAATTGTCTGCACCTCTAGGTATTGACGAAAAAATTAATATCCGTACATTTTTAGCCTTGTGATATAATTTTAAAAAAAAAAAAATTATTTTGACTAAAATAATGCCATGCGCGCCCAAAATAACACGCACTTTTTACAACATGTATTAGTGACTTACATAACATGTATTAGTAAATTTCAAAATGACGCGTAGGTGGATAAAATACCACGCAGGGGTGCGTTATTTCACGACCAGACGGTATTATATTTAAGTATACTTAGTTAAAACTGTTAATAGTTTATAATGTATTAAAAGATTTCTACTGTATACAGATATTTTTCTGGTTTCAATTTATATATACTCGACATCGATATTGTCAGAATAAATTTATAATAACTCCCTTAATATTTCATTTACTAACTTAGGATTTGCTTGTCCCTTCGTTTTTTTCATTACTTGTCCTACGAACCAAGAAAAAACAGCTTGTTTTCCTTCTCTGAGAGATATTAACTGAAAAATATAACAAAATAAAAAATTTTTAATGCATGGATCCAAAAAGTTAATGCCAAAGTATAATAATGTATTACCTGTTCAGGATTTTGTAAAATAACCTCTTGACAGATTTTTTTAAGTTCGCTAATATCATTTAATTGTCTCAAGCCTTCCTCTTGAATTATCGCAGAAGCCAATCTTGAATCTCCAGCAATCATTTTTTCAAGAATCTTTTTTCCAACTTTTCCTTTAAATAGTGAACCATAATTCTAAGATTTATAAAATTTATTTAGAAAATAAAAAATATTGATTACCTGTAATATCACCATTATCAACACAATCAACGACAGAACCTAGTTGAAGTGCTGACACTGGATTCTGAGAAAACTTGATGTTTTTTGCGTGAAGAAGTCCAAATAATTCGTGTATAATCCTAGTTTTATTATAATAAATATTACTATTGCATCGATCTTAGTTTTCGGCATTACATATATTTCATACCAATTTGAAACATGCTGTGAATTACGATTTTTTACTGCCTATGTTGACACGGCTAGAAATGATCAATTAACATGTTTGTATATATATTATTTATTTTATTAATGACTTTTGATAATACTTTTACCTCCTCAAAATATTTTACACCACCGATTTCATTCATTAATACTATAGCGTCATGTAATGGAATACAGTACTGCTTCATTATTCTTGTTTTAAGTTCGTCCGGTAATTCGGGTAAATCATTCAATATTCGTGAGATATAATCCTTTGTTTACAATTTAACAAAAACGTTAAAATTGTCTAAAAAAAAAAAAATTATCCTAAGATAATTTAAAAATATGAATACCTTGTTTAATATTAATGGTGGCAAGTCTGGTTCAGGCATATATCTAAAACAATTAATTGTTAACGTCGTGTCATGAAGCAAAATACACATAAGGCCCATTTATTTATACAAATCATATTTTTTAATATTAACTAAAGTTACTTATAATAACGATTTGCATGATGAAAATATTGTTTAGTAAAAAAACAAAAGTTTTGTAGATTTGTAGAAATAGACTGGATCACCTTAAATATTTTATTGAATAGAACAATCTTGATACCTATAATCAGTAGCAGTTTCTTTTGTTCTTAATCTAAATGTTTGATTTTTTGATACATCAAATCCTCTGGTTTCTTGTTCGATATTATTACCATTTTCTAGTTCATTTATCTGCCTTTCTATCTCTGCATCTAACCTCACGAAAGAAATATTAGTCTAAATTTAATATAATATCAAATCGACATAGACATTGACATGTTTACCAATGGCTGTCATCAAAAACTTAATACTATTCAAATTTTTAATTTCACATCTGGTTCCATATGGTGTTCCATGTTCATGCACAGAAACATTGACATCACATCGTAATGAACCCTAAAGATATATATAATAAATAGTCTACTAAATTTAAAAATAGGCAAACAATATATCCAAGAATATCGAACCTCTTCCATGTTGCCATCTGAAGATCCAATTGCCCGAAGTATTGATTGTAACTTTCTAACAGTTAAACCTGCTTCTTTTGATGTCCTATAATTAAAATTACAATATTGAATAAAGGATGTGACAAAAATAATTGTAATATAATGAAAGTGCACCTTATATCTGGTTCAGTAACAATTTCTATTAATCCAGTCCCTGCTCGATTTAAATCAATCAAAGTCATACCAGGTATAATATCATGAATGCTTTTGCCTGTATCCTAATTTTAACAATCTTTTTTTAATTTAAATTTTCAGAATTAATGAAAGAATTTGAATAAATCACCTGTTCAAGTTGAATCTGTTTGACTCTAACCACAGCATCATATTCTAATCCGTCTAAATGATTTAAAAAGACCTTACCACCAAGAGATATTGGTGCTATTATTTAAAATAATTAGAAAAAAAAATTTTTTTAATCGAAACCATTTTTTTAAAAATGTCTTACCATAATGTTGAGTTATCTGATAACCAGATGGTAAATCAGGATAAAAATATTGCTTGCGATCGAATGAAGATACTAGTTGAACATTTCCTGATAACGCTAATGATGCCATGACAGCAAGTTCAATGCATTTAGCATTTAATCGCTGATTTGATCAATGATAAATTTTTTATTTAGTTTTTTTTTTACAATCTTATAATTCATTGGTTTAAATCTTCCCATCATTCTCTACCGGAAGTGTTCCCGGAAATGCAGCATCAATTACTGATACGTTGGTATTAACAGGTTCATTAAAAGATGTGGATGATGCTATTTTTATTAATCATTTTAAATGTTATTACTTTTATTGATATTACATAATTATTAATTATTCTTTCAATAATAAAAACACATACAAGAAAATAATTTTGTCTTTGAATTTAATTGTGCATGAATTTCTAATCCAATAATTGCTTCCCATTTATTCGATTTATAAAAAATCGGTCGTTCTGATTTAATCTGAGTGCTATATTGATACAATGTTACATGCCTTTTTATTTGTGATATAAATCTTTCATTGCATTTTTTTTTAATATATGTAGCAAAGAATGTTTTAATAATCATTGACATCTTTAAATCTTGGGATGAATGAAATTTAATGTTAATACGTTATTAGTAGTGATAAGTGATATAAATATGATTATCGAGATCAAGAAGAGATCAAAAAGTTAGGATATCCAGACATGTGATTTAAAATTTATTATTATGATATGTGTACAATACCCGATACAATACTGTTCATTTTTGCCGGATCTTACCATTTTAGAAACCCCATTAGATCATACGTTATTTATGCATAATGCATATATATAAGTTTAGTTCAAAAGGGATTATATTGTTGATCGGCTCACAACGATAACGATCGTTTATTATTGAAGGTAATTTATGATATTTTAAAAAAAATTCGACTTACAAAACTTTGACCAAAGAAAATTATGAAGAATTGTTGATCTTGAAATATGATATATATGTACAAGTCTATATCATGTGATTGATTAACTCAGTTTGTTTTTTTTTGAAATAAATAAGCCGATCATGAGCCAAGCTTCAACGATCTCAACTATTACCAGTTTATCAGAAAATATGTTCTTGGTCGAAAGTGGTAAATAGAGTATTTCCTTTTTTTTTTATCTTTTTTTTTTTTTTACAATCTATTAGAACAGATTAGTTGATTTGAATGTTGATTATTATAGTAACGGATATGTCATCCTCGCCGTTATCCATTCCAGAGTGCCTTTCAAGAATTTTTGAATTCCTTTGGGATGATAAAAATTCTTTGCATAATTGCCTTCTAGTGTGTCGCTCTTGGTGTAGAATCGCTATTCCGATATTATGGAGAGAACCATTTATATTATTAAAAGAGAAGCCTAATGAATATCTTCTTAGAACTTATATTTCATGCTTTGAAGATCAAATTCAATGGTCTTTTATTCGGAATTGGATGTTATTTCCTATCACAACCACATCACCTTCACATCCGACATTATTTGATTATCCATCATTTTTACGGTAAATAGAAAAATAATGTAATAATTTATTGTCTATATTTTTTTTTTTGTGTAATTGTTATTAGATTAAAAAAATTTGTTTAAATATTTGTAACTCTTGTACTCATGGTTCAATTTTTTTATATTATATACTATCTTTTTTAAGACAGCTCGACTTACGTTCTATGTTTAGTTTAATCAATGCCTGGTTTGTGAAAACTGCATCAAACGAAGTACAAAGACGCTTTAGGGAGAGTGAAATTTGCATTATTTTAATTTCCAATAAATTGCTCGAGTTATTGCTAAGTCATTGTCCTGCTTTGGATACATTAATTCTTTGGTCTGGAACACCAGATTACATTACACTTACTCAAGCATTATCTGGCAAGAATACCTGTATCTCTCGATTATCAACACTTCAAGTCGAAGGAAATTATCATGATATTGATTTATTTACATTATCACAACAATGTTTTTACATAAAAAAATTATTGGTAGATGTTGAAGTTACATATCATGGAATGAATATGTTGATTAATCTTATTCAAGTTCAACATAATCTTGAACATTTTCGACTCGGTTTTCGTCCAGAGAATAATGGATTTACAAATCATGTTACTCCACGTCTTCTCACATCATTAGCATCTCAGACTAAAACTTTACACACTGTTGAATTTAATCGATGTAACTTTCTTGAATGTGATGATTTAAAGGATCTTGCACAATGTGAAAATATTTGCCATCTGATATTGTGGAAATGTGTTGGAATAGGGCCAGATAAGATGCGAACATTACAAAATACTAATTTTAGTAAATTGAGAAGATTAGAACTTTACGTACATCCTGGAATTTCGGCTGACATGGTGATTAAAATAATTCGAGAATCAAACAATCAATTACAAAGTTTACGACTTGCTGGGATAACACCACAATCAGATTTACTTAAAGTTTTAGTAGTAATGACGATTCATTGTCAACATCTCACAGATTGTAGGCTAGTACTCAAAGATGGAGATAACAATGCGTTTAACGCTTTACTCTCATTTTTGGACGTATCAAATAAATTGGAAATTCTCTATATCACTTTTACTGATAGAGTATATCCTATATGTAAATATGAAGAAATGGCAAAACATTTACCAACCGGCTTACATGAACTCGTATTTCGTGACTTTTTATTTTCCCCACAATCACTTGAAGCTTTTTTGGAGAATATGAATACATCATTTCAATCTTTAAGCTTCTCTAAAAGATATTTTTCATCAGCACATATCGATGCTATCATTAGATATGTTAAAAAGAACTCTAACTTGTTTCGATTGATGAAACACTCTCGATATATGTCTATAAAATCAAGATCAACCCCATGTAAAAAAAAATAAATTTTTTTTTAATGATCGAAATTATTATTAGATACTTATACTAAGAATATTAATTCTAATTTATTTTTTGTTCTAATAGAATTTTTCGAATTTCTGGGGCAAGTAATGAAGGCACATATGTGAATAACATTGTAATTCATAAATATAGATTAAATATTTACTCATTAGATGTTTTATTATAGTATTATTGTTTTGTGATCAACATTCAGAAGGGATAATGTCTGGGGATTATTATTTAAAGTTATCAAAAGTACAAATAATAACGTGTATTTCAGAGAGAATTTGGTTAGGTTAGGCTATTACTATTACAACTATTACTACATGTTGTGTAATTAAAATACAAGTGTTCTAAATAAACAATGTATAGTGATGAAACTGTATATTTCTATCTTACTACCGTACAAATTCGTGTTTTTTTTTTGAGCAATAGGTTTAGTAATAGTTTGTACGTATATCGTTTATGCAGTCATTTGTGATTCTAAATCTGTAAATTACATTCAGTTTTCTTTATACCGATAGTAAAAGTTCTCAAAAGTTCTTTATAGAATCTTATAGAATAAATTTACTATGTTTCTGTACAGTCAAAAAAAAGTTCGTTATTGAGTAGATTCATTATTTTCCAGAATCGATTGTAATTTTTAGTTCTAACAATGATCTCTTAGTGCATCAAATTATTGTTGCGATACCAAAAATTTAGTTTGACAAATAAATAAATGGTAATAGCTTCTAATATATAATTAAACATAAATCTATTTTTGTTTCTATATATAAACTATGTAGGCCAAATGGTTCAAGTCATTTTCAAGTCATGTCTTCTAAATAAACGCGTGTAATAATATCCAATAAATAGGCAGAGGGTAAGTTTATTATAATGGCTTGACAGACTTAGAATTGTTATATCGAATAAATCTATAAATATTGTATCTAAAAATCATTATATTATACTAAACGTAATTATCATAATTATTAAATAATAGTATTTAAATTATCATTGTATTTTTTTTTTTACTTTAACAATATTAATAATCGTTATAGAATAGTTGTGAAAGTTGAAAAGCATCTTAATAAAACCAAAAATGCTTGAATTAAGCCCCATAGAAACGGAATCCAAACTGACATTGGGAAATCACCAGAACTATATAATGCAGCCAAAACATATCCTTATATATATGTTGATTATTGTAAATATTAATTTAATTATCATGATAAAACGATAACATTTAAGAAATAAGAATATATTTAAATATTATATATACCAATAATAGTACCACCAACAAATCCCGTTATTAACGCAACAAAGAGGAACCCGACAGGGATTAAAAATGACCATCGATATTTATGAAACACAATACAAGCAAATATTCCTGCGAAACCATATATGATCATAAAAAATATTATGGTCCATATAGTAGTGTACAAACGTATATCTATCAATTATAAAAAAAAAAAAAACATCACATAAATGAGCATAAATTATAAAAAAAAAAATGAAACCCCCCACAAAAATGAAAAATTAACCTTTTTCTAAATACAAGTATTTCGCTGAACTTGAATCAAAAGGCCAATAAAGCGAATACCAATTAGGATGTATATAATTTAGAGGAATGGGTATATCGAAATTGGACATCGTAACTTTCAATGTAACATGAAGTGAAAGTTATCAAGGATTTTTATACATAAAAAATAATAAAGAAGCAATAAATGATTGGCTTGAAAATACGATATGTCCGCGTAATTGCAGAGACTATGTAACACTCGTAATACTAACCAACATGTAAATAGATATTAAATTGACCGAGAGAGTAATTTCACGTGTTATTATTTTTCATATAATCGGAGCACAAATTTCTTTACTCGGAGAAAATAAAATCTCTTTGACCTTTTTTCGAAAGAACTTTCGTATTTATGCATCAAAAAAAATATGAAAAAGGAATTAAATTTATCTTTAGAATTTGTTATCACCTAACACTACCCTACCCTATTTTAAATGGGAAATGTTAATCTAAAATTAGAAAAAAACTATTTTTGGATTCTAGAGGTTACTTATAACTACATAAATAGTAAGGATTGGATAATACGGTGCAGGACATCCAATCACGTCAAAGTGCTGAATTTTATAGTAGTGTTAAATTTTGATGTTGTATAATACGTATAAACATTTAATAGCGCTGAAATTTTAAAGAGATAGAGAACGAGTGAGAAGGCAAGTGAGTGAAAGATAGAGAAATATATATATATATATAAGTTAATAAAATTTAAATCTAAAATCAATTTATTTAAATAAATTTATTAATTAAATTTATTTATACGTAATAATTATTTATAATAAAAATGCTAAATTTTTTACCAATAAAAAAATGTTGAATTTTTAATTGTGATAATTTTTTATTTATAGGCATCATTTTTTTTTATATAAGAGTCAATTTTTTAGCTGTCATGTAATATATTCAGTCAACAAAAATGCAGAAAAATTTAATATAATTTTATATTTTATTAATTTAAAGGTAAGGGATACTATTTTAAAAATTATATATAAACTTAATAGTAAATTTTTTATATATTTAATTTTATAAAAATTATATTAAGTAAACTAATTTTAATTTATGAGAAACATTTATAAAGTAGAGTTTTTGAATTCTAATGATAGAAAAAGAAAATCATAAACACTTTCTTCTATAGATCTCTTGATTAGAAATTGTAA